TGGTGCTGGGAGGCCACTTTCCCATCTCGTCGTGGAACATAATCCACTAGTTTGATTTCCTGTTGAGTCCCTTTTCAGCTGCTATGCGGACTTCCTCGGTGCGTTTAGCTTCACGTTCCCTGTGCAACTCTTTTCAGTTGACGCATTGCCTTCGCGGTCTATCAGCCGATCGCCAAGGTTCGGGAGAATGCCATAATGTTTTTTGGTCGCACAGTTGGAGAATTTGGGTCGTCTTCAGGACGCGTATTCGGACGGACTTTCGAAATTGGAGATAAATAGCTTTGTTTCAATTGAGTTCGTGGTTCTTTGATAGAAAGCGAACAATTTCTTTAAGAAATATTTAAGAACGTAGAAAAGTGTGATAGCGTCACGGACCTAGGCGTTGGCCCTTATTACCGATGTCACTTCACGGTGAAGTGACAACTTGTCACTCACGGTGAAGTGATTCCCATTTGATTTAAACGGCAATCACTTCACCGTGCAGTGACACTCGTTATGAGGGCCGTTATTTTAAACTCAAAGCTTACTTTCACCGAATAAATACCGTTCCGATTCAAATTTCGGACGATTCAAATTTCGGACACTTTCATTTTTAATTAAATATTACATCCAGTTAGAAACAAAGTAATAATGTTAGATGATCGTGGAGGGCACTAGTCAAAAAAATTTAAAATTTACAAGACATGTGGATCATATTCGACCGAGATAATCAACTTTTAAAAGTGTCCGAAATTCGAGTTTAAGTGTCCGAAATTTGAATCGGCACGGTACAGTAGCATAGCTTGGTCTCCTTTGTCAATCACACGCGATGAAAGAATAGAGCAGTTTCTATTGTATGTAGTCCGCAAGTTAGGTTGGACTGTATTTCTTTTGCCATCATACACAGCTCGATGTATGCTCATAAATATTCAAACATTAAAAGAGCATCGTGAATTTGATAGGGTATCATTTGTAAACGATATCTTATCGCATCGCATTGATTCAATTGAACTATTGTCAAAATTAAATTTATGTACACCAACTAGGCATTTGCGAAACAGATATATATTTGCTACAAATCACCATCGTCCGAATGATGCTAAATTTGGACCCGTGAACCAAATGATGGATACATACAACATTGACTTTAAAATATTACAAGCGGCGCCGGTGGTGTAGTGGTTGGTTGGTTGGTTGTCTTTATTAAGGAGATTTTCAGCCAGACGCTGGTTCATCTCCGGCGTGGTGTAGTGGTAAGCGTGATTACCTCTCACCCCAGCAAGCCTGGGTTCAATCCCAGTCGGCGCCGCCGGGGTGTTCTGAGGCATAACATCTTTGATCACGCCTTCCTTCGGATGGGAAGTAAAGCCGTTGGTTCCCGTGTGAGTTGGTGAGTTGATGAGTCAATAGGTAGGTTTAAAGTATGGGAGCTGCCTCCCTGGCGTCGGTAGCATTGGTGCTCAGCACGGAAAACAAGATCGACGGGTAACAAATCAAGGAAAAAAAATGTTTAAGTGGACCAAATTTTCATCGTATCACCCTTTATTTACAATATTTTAATATATTCACGCTAAGGACATATTATCATAGTAAGCCAGATATTCATACGTTGATAACTGATTGAGCTAAGTCAAGTGCAATCAAAAGAAAATAGAAGCGAGATCTAATATATATCCGTTTGGTATTTGGTCTCGTATTTGATTGGAATAATGTTTTAACAATAATGTGGTTCTTGCAAAGGGTATTTAACTCTGCACACCCGATTCTGTGCCATGAGATTTCACAGTGCCGATAGTTGTGCCAAGCGCTGCGCCAAACGTGTCAAAGTAGGCTGAAGTGTACCAATCAAGGTGTTAATGACCTATACGTTTGGTAACCCTGAAGTTATACTGACTTTTGTGATTGTGTTTACATTTTGAATTTCTTTGATGATTTATGGCAAACATTATGTTTCATTTTCATTTGAACGTGAACGGAGCGGGCAGTGGGAGAGAAACTGGAAGCCATCCAAACTATACGGTGTTCAAGCAAATTCGACTCCTCCAAAAGATACGTGTGCAGAAACGAATGTGTAACCTGATTAATGGTGGCAAAATTTCCTCCAGCTACCTGTTAAAAGCTCCCCGACAAAATCAAAACCAGAACTCGAACGGGTGAATGTTCAATCCCACAAACAACATCCTCGAACCAGTTCATCTGATCGACTCAGAAGTACGTGACCTCGAAGACATCACCCAAGCTTATCGTGTCGCTGATTATGATGTATCTTGCCACCACCCAATTACACACGTTCAAGGCTACCAAGTTCAAAATCTTATGTAGTTGTGGTGCCTTCCGCAATGTACTACCATTGAAAACCAATGGCCAATAGACCACCGATGAAAACCATCAAATATCCCCCACTTCAGATCAGTCATACTTCGGAAATGGTTTGTGATCCAAACAAGCTTCGCATTTGTAGTTCTGCTGCAGGCTGGATCCTGTGGTTGCTGTTGTTCATCAACATGCCCATGGGCTCTAGCCGAACAAGTTGCTTAGTGTCGTCATGCGAGAACCGTTGACCCCATCGAAACCCCCTCTACCACGAATCAAATTTTAGAGATTGAGCAAAGCCTTACTGGTCTTACAAGAACTGATCGGTAGGCCACCCATCACATCGGGGATTCGTGATGCAAACTAGTTCAACACAAGGATGTTTATAGAGATTCATCTGCAAAATGACCAGATCGTTGATGATGGATATGTTATTTATGTCGGACTCACAGAATGTAATTGCATTGATCTGTTCCTATAATTCCTATACTATTACGTTAAGGCAACCGTACATAAGTTCAAATCTGATGGAATATTTGAGGATGCGTATCGACAGTCCCCAGCTGTGCAGGCAGTACAGAGACTATGGACATCGTTATAAAATCCTGTGATTTCCCATCAAAGTCCATATCCAAGAATAAATGAGGAACAACGCAGGGGAAATCGAGAAAATTTCCATCGCGGAAGACCCTTGGCAAGACCGGGATTTGAACTTGCACGACACCTCCCCCAACCCCTATGCTCAGCTTTTTTTTCTTTATTGTTTATTCTGCATAACAAATTTGTAAAACAAATCGCAACAATTTTGTCATCGTTCAAAGGATTTTCGTTAATACAGTTCGCATTCCGTACGGCGTATTGGATGACCACATCTTCCAGTCATTTGTCCAACCTTCGGTGGAGGTTACCTATTTCAGCCGTGACGTCTAATGTGGAAAAACTCTGTAGGTGTGAGGCCTGAATAGAAGCTAGCCGCTGCGAGTTTCGCTACGAATCGGATGAGATTAGTTAGTTTTGACCAGATTCATGGTGTAGAAAATACTTACAGATTTTTCCTTGGAATTTTTCGATCCCATTGTGAAGCCCAATGGAGTAAACAAACTAGTCAACCTTAGCAACGATTGGAAAAACGTCAATACTCGACAGTGACGCCGTTTTACATAATATTGTTTGTGTCCTACTTGTCAACGAGTGCCCTAGTGTGCCGAATAGTGTGCCATGCTGTATTTCAGCACAGTATGAAGTGTTGAGTACCCCTTGGGTTCTTGACTTTTTTGGTTTCAAGTAATGGATTTATCATTAATCCCTAGTTTTACAGGGATAGTCAACATTTAACCGCACGCGCTTGTGAACGTCATCTTCCTGAAAACAATAGCCGATCTATGAGAAGGTAACAATGCTGACATCACTGAGAAGGACGCAGGCACATTGCGTTGGCAACACTAAGGACAACAAGACTAAGATAGAGAGCCTTTACGGCCATTACTACTACGTATTCTGTATGAAGGTGAAAAAACATTTCCAATCTAAAAATTCAAGTTTCGAGAGGGTTTATAGTGAAGCACATGCATTTGAGCGTTTACGAAACGAACACCCTCCTCCTCTCCCTAGGAGATTGAAGCGGGTGAGTTGCTCTGCCTCAGATGGATGATGTTCAACAGCACATCAAAAAGACCCAAAACTCGATGGATACTGTGGCGAGGCTCAGTTAATCGATTCTCCGGTATTTAAAAGTTGATAGGCTTCTGCAAGGTAAAGTTTGTTCTAGCTGTCCTCGCACTTTCTGGTCGAAACAATGGAAACAAGGTCCTAATCCTGGTTTTATCTTCGATCAATCCGTTTCACACAAGTAGAAAATAGAATTTTATTTGTGAACTAACATAAGCAAGGAACTACGAAATAAGATAAAAATTAACAAAAACCATAGTCCATATGACAAAAGAGCTTGCTGTGATGGTAGAATATATTTAAATATATCGTGATTTGAATATTTTAAAATAAGCAAATGATAAGCTCACGCAAATGTCTAGCCTCTAAGCACTATCCCCGTTCGACGTTACCCTGACTCACGGGAATCAGACAACAACATGTGCAGCCATTTCCCAAGAAAATTTCACGTAAACTATTTTCGTAGAGCAGGTGTGCGATACAACCAACATTCGCTGAGGTACAACTTTCCACCGTAGAGCCAAAAGTGTAGAAATTTTCTTATACGATTATATAACTTTAAGTCAGAGCTAGCGGCCAATTACAACAAACTTTGTTTACCAAACCAAGTCCCTTAGTCTGAATACACTGCAGGGTTCCTCTGATACTTTTCAGACGCGTGATAGCAAAGCTTCTGTTTGCTCTGTGTGTAATGTGCAATGTTGATCTTATCGAAGTACTATTATGGCTCTGACTAGGTTTTCACGGCGCACACCGTACTGCAAGTTACATGAAAAAGCAATCGAAGCAATGTTATTATGCAGTTATCTAATGTGTGTATAGTTACCTTATCGATAACGAGAGACTCACGTTAAACTCACAACTCCAGCATAGGTCGATAAATAGAATAGTTTTAAAGTGCAACGCAAAACTATGTCTCAAGAGACAGACTGTATATACGCATTAATCTCGTAGTGGCGTATTGCTCTAATCAAGTATACTTGTTTGTAAATTGAAAGCATAGCACTTATCCAGTTTTTCAATTCTCGTTTCCATTTTAGGTGAACCCAGTCTGAAAGAGCTGAATATCGGATAACAACCCATGCATAATCGAGAGAAATCGCTTTAATCTGCCCGAATAGATTGTGCTGCATACGTGCCGTTGATTGAATTATTCATGAATGGCAATCGGTGGTGAGCTAAATCTCATTGAAATCACAGCTAAATGCTACCAAGTGTTCCAAAAATATGTTAACGGAAAAAGCTTTCAGCATCTAGAACGCGTGTTACCTCCCGATGAGCAAACTGCGATGGGTTCAGTCACACGCTGGTTTTTATCGTACATCATCGCCAACAGCATCGAGTGACACGAGAAGCAAGTGAGATTACCCTGTGTCGAAGTGTGTCATCAATCTTCGTAGTTGACTACGACGACGAAAGGTTAAAGTGAAAGTTTGCTCCTTGAAAAGTGTTTCATCCGCAATTTAAAGCATGCCTTTGCATCGTTGCCAGTGTCGTCGTCGACGTCGGCGGTGAGGAATGCTCGAAATTCGATAGGACCTCACCATCCATCGGTAGATCGTGTTGCACATTCTGAACGGTATACAGGGTTGTGTAGTGAACTCCGTTTGAAGGCGAAGAAAATTGTACTGCTCCAATATCCATCTAACCACACGCCCGTAGCATTTGGGGTGAAGCATGCTTAACGAAAAGGAAGATGATCAGGAAATATGCAAAGCGCCATCACCGACACCGGAGGAAAGGTATGTACGGCTTGGGGGTACAATTTCTATACCCCACTCTGTTGCTTCTATGTATACGTGTATCTGTACTGACAAACGATATTATCACTGCTAGACTACAGCATTGAGTTTACACACGTAGGATATATGTACTCCCAATCAGGCTTTAATCCACATCCTTTTACGTCGTCTTATAAAGAGGAAGAAGCTATTTTTGTTACCAGCTGAAACCATAAGCCCTTGAGGAAGCGTACAATCAATGTGACACAGCTGCTGTTTCTCTTTGTGCTAAATAAAATGTATGCTTTTAACCTTATTGGCACATAACTTATTCAGTAGATCATATGTGCGAGTGAACGCGATAATCGTTTGATACGTGTGCTTATTCCTTAGCACAATAATGGGTATTATTGGATCAAGCAGCTCCCATGATATATATTAGGGTGGTTAAAATTATCGATTTGCTCAATTGATTCTAAATCAGGTCGTGATAACTATCCCAAAATTTAAGCTCACTTGGTTGTGATCTCATTCTGCTCTAACTCTTTAAAGTTTATACACGGCCGATGTACTTCACTCAGTCTAATTCACCTCAAAATTGCAAAATGTGGGGCTACAGACGTGGAAAATGATGATGATGATGATGATGATTTTTTTGCGTACGTTTCGTTCTCGCTGTAGTAATTTCGCGCGATAGCTGTTGGTTTCGTTCATTTCAATATGAATTGTGAAATTTGTTCATTTGACTCTTCCGTTGATTCGCTGATGTGGAAATGCACTGGCTGCATACGCACATTTCATGCAGCCTGCGTAGGAGTGACCGTGCAGAGGAATTCACTACGCAGGAAGGACAATAAAAAAGTAGGGGATTTTAATTCTTATCTTCTACCATGCTGCGACTCGTGTCAAGAGCATCTGCAAGCAAAGTTAGAATTTAATCAATTAGCGGCTCAACAAAAACTTCTAACGGAGCAACTGCATGCCAACACAGAAGTGACACATCGTTTCGCGCTGCAGCAAGAAAATCCTCGAATTGTTCACGAAGCTGTCGAAGGCCTGGAGGTACTGCTGGTAGGCATAAAAAATGAACTGTCTGCAATTAACAGAAACAGCACCTTAGCTGGCAGTGTCGTTGCCCTCAAAAATCACACTACATCGCTTTTCGATACAGCTATGATGGCAACAAAAGACAGTGTGTCTACGTCATTGAGAACTGTGACGTCAGATATATCCACCGAGCTCCGAAATATCAGTAATGAAATAAATCAACTGAACCAGCTGTCGCTCGACATTGCGGCAAGTTGTACCATGAGCTCTAACTCTGTGCTGGAACTCGATATTCTTGACGAGCTGAAGTCACTGTCAGCAAATATAGCCTCAACACGGAGCGCTGCACCTTTGCAATCGCCATCTGACTCGTGCCCCAGCTTGGAGGTGGAATTAAATAACAACAACGATGACTCAGGGTGGCGTCTACTTGGTACCAGGAAGGTATGGAAGGCAGACTGGACCGAGTACGATGACCGAAAATCACGCCGTTTGATACAGTAAAAAATAGCTGGAAAGGCTAGAAGGCGAAGGAAACAAAACTTGCTCAACAACAACAACAAAAACAACAATAACAACAACCACAACAACAACCACAACAACAACAACAACCACAACAACAACAACAACAGCAAAAATAACAACAACCACAACAACAACAACAACAATTTTGGCAACAACAACAACAACAACCATCTCACTGCGTCCTAGCAAGAAGTACGGTCGACTTGTTTCGCGCTCCGTTAATTTGGAAGTTTTCTCGCTATTATCTGACGTAAATAATCAGTTTTTTCTCGCTTAGTGATTCCTGGCATAATTCCCGATAAATTTATCAAAAAGTGAGTTTTTTTTTCTGAGAAGAAAGTGTGTTTTCGGCATCATCGGAAGGAAAATTGTTTTTGCGATTGCCAATTCGCCAACCATTTTGCGCACCATCGGTGCGTGGTCACGCATACCTGTGCACACGGATCATCGTCATCGAGTGTTAGCATCTGCCTCCACATTCAAACCGCTCATCCATCTCGTGTGTTCAGCTGAGTGCCGAGCTTCATACAAGCACACACCAACGAAGACCGCCCGCACACGCGGATCGAAGATCATCAAAGCTGCGCATCGCTCCGCTGCTGCTGTGTAAACGCTCGGTGGTAGTAGTATAGGATTATCAGATAAGTTTTTGTTCTTGTTTCTTCCTTTCTCCCATCAGTTAAATTTTAAGTTTGTGTTTCTGTGTTTGTATTTTTTTTTCTCGTGTATTGTGTCCGAGTAATTTTGATTATCGTTGCAGTGGTAGAGCGTTTTTCGCTCCCACTAGTACGGCAAAATGGACATTTTGTCAGAAGACGAAATGGACGTTTTGTCGGAAGATGACACCACTTTGCCACGCGATAGCAAGAAGGGTCGAAAACGTCTGTCATCCCAGAAATCAGATGATGCCATCCCTGCTTCGTCATCTCAGTCTGGTAATGGACAGGGACAGATAAGCCCCCGATCGCGAGCCTACCCAGAAGACTCGACTGGCCCATGGGTTGTTTACTTTCAGCCCAAAAAGAAACCTTTGAATGTAATGCAAATTACTAATGATCTGACGAAGCGGTTCTCGGCCGTGACCGAAATCTCGAAGGTGAGGTACAATAAACTTCGCGTTGTCGTCTCTAACCTGAAACAAGCTAACGAGATTGCTGCCTCCCAGCTCTTTACACTAGAGTATAGAGTGTACATCCCAGCTCGTAATGTGGAGATCGAAGGTGTGGTCACCGAAGCGAGTCTGACCCCCGAGATCTTGGCGAAGCAAGCGGTTGGCCGTTTCAAGAACCCCTTGCTTCCCACGGTTGAGATACTGGAAGTCCAGAAGCTGAACTCAGTATCTTTCAGCGAGGGTAAAAAGAGCTTTACCCCCACAGACTCGTTTCGGGTGACCTTTTCTGGTTCAGCCCTTCCTCACTACATCGAGTTGGGAAAACTTCGGCTACCTGTGCGTTTGTTTGTTCCTCGGGTCATGAACTGCCAAAATTGCAAACAGTTGGGACATACGGCCTCTCACTGTGGCAGCAAGGCACGCTGTTCCAAATGCGGGGAGAAGCACGAGGATGGCGCCTGCACAGTCACTGCACCAAAATGCGTGTACTGTAAGGGAACTCCTCATGGTCTTCCCAGGTAACAACTTGATGCTTAACAAGTGTTGATTAATCGATTTTAATTCAACCTTAGATTGAATAATTGCTGTACATAGACCACGCTAACCTTTGTTCAGCTCTTAAACAGCTAAATCTGGTGATTTTAATCAGCCAAAAGCTTAACAGTAATATACATTATAAGCTTTTTAAGCCATTAAATAACAGTCTTTTCGAACCCTTGTTCAGCCTTCTAATTTTATTTCAAAAATTATGAGGGAAGACCGCATTATGCATTTATGTGGAAATGCTTTTATTTTGTTGCTGACTAATAGGATTTAGATATTTATATTGTTAGTATCACTCTAAAAATTACCTTTGCATTTTGGGATTCGAACCAGCAGTCGCTAATTCACAGGCATCAATCACACCTACTGGACCACTTTAGCATATGTGTGGCAAAAGGTATGATCATTGACTTGAAGCACGTCAAATTTAAGTTGAATAATAGCAACCGGCAGAGTATTATACAGCAATGCAGAATTGTAAACAACAACTGGTGCCAGTAAAACATTCCTCTTATTTTCAAGTGCGGTTAATACAATGTGGACACAAGCGCGTGATTTATTTCGATGGTAATTTGGATGCTATTTTAGTACCATAATTGAGTATTAATATTGGATGTGGTCTGAAACTTCAGTGCAATATTCCAACGTCGTCGCAGCCCACATCTACCTGGAGCTATTCCTTAAAATCTCCTCTTCCTAGTCTCTACTGCTGCCACTGCTTGTAATTAGAAAGGTAGGCAGTGAATTTAGAAGAACTAAAATGCCGAAAATGCAACGAGTGACACAGATACTGACGACATTAAACAAATCAAGGTATCAAAATTTGTGTAACGTATTGCTGATTTGTGGAGTTGTGTTAAGCTTAAAGAAGGCTTGTTCAATCTTTAGATCAGCTAACTTATTGAGGTTGGATTATGGGGATACAATTCGCTTCATGCACTACTAATCAACTATGTATTCAGCCTAATGTTAATCAGCTTTGTACACCTTAAATCAACCAATAATCAGCTTCTGTTCTTACTGATCAGCTTGAATTGTTACTTGGGTCTCATCGTGCCCGGCGTACAAACAACGCGGGGAGAAACTAGAACGCTCTCTTAAGGAGCGTTCCAGGCAGTCTTTTGCAGCAATGCTAAAAACAGCCACACCATCAACCAACGACAAAAATCCCTTTGCTGTTTTGTCTGATGACGAGTCTGACTCTGACTTGGCTGAGGAGGGAGTTTCTTTCAGTTTTCCGGAAGGTTCTGCACGGAAACGAAAACGCATCCGTTCGCGGAAAGTTGCAGATAAGGAACCCAAAATCAGCTTGCCCAAATCAAGGAGTGATGGAAAAAAGGAAGTTTCAACTCCTCCTGGTTTCCGCAGAACTGACTATAACCAGAACTTTCCATCTCTCCCGGGGACATCAAAAACCCCTGATGGCCCATTTTTAAGAACAGAAGCCCCTTCTTCATCCGAGTTGTTCTCATTTGATAAAATTGTGGACGATATTCTCAAGTACCTCAATATTTCTGATCCTCTCAAAAGCATTGTTCTGGCAATGCTTCCTTCTGTGAAGACCCTCTTGAAGCAATTGACATTGAAGTGGCCCCTCATTGCAGCAATCATTTCCTTCGATGGATAATTTTCCAAACGAGGTCGGGGATTTGATCACTATTCTACAGTGGAATTGTTGAAGTCTCATTCCTAAATTAGATTCTTTTAAGTTTTTAGTTCACAATAATGATTGTGATGCATTTGCTGTTTGTGAAACTTGGCTCTCTTCAGATATCGATCTTCCTTTTTATGATTT